GCTTGAGCGGGGGGTTGGACTAGAAGACCTCCAAGGTCCCTTCCAGCTCTAGTCCGATTCTGATTCTGATGTCCACCTCTATTTCCATGCTTTGCTATCATCACACATAGAGAATTGTGCTTGAAGCCCTAAGCATTTCCTGTTTATCTCCCGTTCAACCACTAACTTAGCATCCCAACTGAGACAAGGTCACCCTTAAAAGATAAGAGGCTTCCACCTAATACACCAACCTGGGTTGGTGTTGTTGTTGTTGTTATTATTATTATTATGGATCATCGCACAGTCAGCCAGATGTTCAGAATGGATTTGGCATTTTGTCTACCTATCAAGTCCTTACCCAGGACCTGGGATAGGCAGATGTGGATGTTTGATGGTATTACAGATATCGTCGCAGGATGGAAGCAGTTCCTAGTAAGGCCGCCTTTTGCAATTGACTAATAGCGAATTTGTCAATGCCAATGGTGTTCAAGTGGTGCTCCAGTTGTTTTGGGATTGCACCCAAGGAGCCTATGACTATTGGTACTACCCTTGCTTGCTTTTGCCACAGTCTTTCTATTTCTATTTGTAGGTCTTTGTATTTGGTTATCTTCTCCATTTCTTTCTCTTCTATTCTGCTGTCTCCAGGCACTGCCACATCCACTATCCAGACATCATCATCATCATTATTATTATTATTATTATTATTATTATTATTATCATCATCGTTATCATCATGATTATTATTTGCCTGCCCCTTAGCAAGGAAAAGGGCATTGGAATATCAAACAGCCAAGGAAAGGCACCAGATAGGAGAGTTGGAGAAAGAAGATTAGGGCTTCTATGTTTAGTCACCTCCGTGTGTTCTAGGTAGAGTAAACTAACAGCGTTGAGAAAAAGCGGGATGTAAACTCTTCTCTTGGATCTACCGGCCAGGAAGCCGTGCTCTTTTCAGAGTGGGAAAGTTTTGCTTCTGAACAAAATTAAACTTCTCAATGTGGCTTTGTGTGGGCTGTGCAAAACAGCCGATTGATACAGTAGAAAGATGCTTCACTCCTCACAGCTCACGTCCTATTCCTAGCCAACCAGTGTCACGTTTGGCTGTTTGTTGTTATTAGTTGCGAAGTCGTGTCCGACCCATCGCAACCCCATGGACAACGTTCCTCCAGGTCTTCCTGTTCTCTACCATCTTTTGGAGTCCATTGAAGTTCACGCCTCCTGCTTCAGTGACTCCATCCAGCCACCTCATCCTCTGTCGTCCCCTTCTTCTCTTGCCCTCCATCTTTCCCAGCATTAGGCTCTTCTCCAGTGAGTCCTTCCTTCTCATTAGGTGGCCAAAGTACTTGAGTTTCAACTTCAGGATCTGGCCTTCTAAAGAGCAGTCGGGGTTGATCTCCTTTAGGACTAACTGGTTTGATCGCCTTGCCTGCCAAATATTTGTCAGAAAGTGATCTAACCAAGACACCAGCTTATAAACCAAGTCGATGTGCAGACCCAGCAAGCTGTGGGAGAATCAGTAAACCATGGCCAGGCTTAGTAAGAACTTGATCTGGCTGACTGGAAAATCTGGGAGCACTCATCAAAGAACATCTGGTGAGCTCCAGGTAAGGCCGGAGTGACCACAGGAATTAGCTTAACAAAGGGAAGGATTACTCAACAACCCTGGTTCAACTTTTTGACGTCTACCCTTCCCAGAATGACTCCAGTGGAATTCTCCCAAACTCATGCACACCCCAGTGTGCTCCTGCAGCCAGGGTATTGTCCCTGACATCACTAATTCATTATACAACCGAGCAACTACTTAGCACAATGAGCCTAATGTTGATAATTAAGCAGTGATACATCCAATACTTTCAAAGCAGAAAGGGTGACAAGAGTCACCATCTCTTTTATTCAAAAATCAGGATTATTTAGACCAATCTTCTCATGAAGCCAAGTGGATGTTTAGTGGAAATTGCACGAGTAGGTTAAATATTAATCAAGAAAGTCCAACGCACAAAGTAAAAAGAACCACATACTTTATCAAAATAATAATCATCTTTCTTCTTCTCCTTCTTCTTCTTCTTCTTCTTCTTCTTCTTCTTCTTCTTCTTCTTCTTCTTCTTCTTCTTCTTCTTCTTCTTCTTCTTCTTCTCCTCCTCCTCCTCCTCCTCCTCCTCCTCTTCCTCTTCCTCTTCCTTCTTCTTCCTATCTATCTATCTATCTATCCATCCATCCATCTATCTATGACCAATAGTTTTGTGTGGATAGTCACACCAGAAAACAAGAGGTCCTCCTTTTCTTAGGGTTGACTTCAATAAGATCTAAAGACAACCAAGATCAAAACCCAGGACTGGATGACTCATAACCTTCTTGGCAGATGACCATGAATTGGTAAAATTCTTCAAGGAACTGTCCTTCCTGGCACGTATCTTGCATCTGATTGTTGATAGAGGGTGGAATAGTGTAGACTACAAACTTCCACCTGTATTGGGCCAGCAGTAGATTCTAGGGAATATCCAAGTATATACAACTCCCACCTAGCATGTTGGCTATGGCTTAGAGTCATTGGAAAAGGAAAGATGCAGATTGAAAGAAGGGACCATCATACACAAGGTTTGCTTCTCTGAGTCAAGGTAACAGAGATGCTTTTTGGACTATGAGAAACGTATGGATCCACAGGGGATGAAAGATGATTCAGGCTGGAATAACTGTTTTACACACTCAAGTATGCCGTGTATCTTGGTAATGAAAAAGAACTGGAACTAAAGTTGGTCACAAACTGAAGAAGATTGAGCCGTAGGATTTGGCTGTTAGAAAAGAGAATACAAGTTTAGAATCCATTGATCATTTTCAAATCGGGGAAATCAATCCTTCCTTCCTCCCTTTCTCTCATTTTCACTCGTTACTTCCTTCCTCCCCTCCCTCCCAAATTTCATTCCTTTCTTCCTCCCTCCCTAATTTCTTTCCTTCCTTCCTACTTCCTCTCATTTTCCTTCCTTCCTCCTTCCCTCCCTTCCTCATTTTCCTTCCTTCCTTCCTCCCTCCCTCCCTCTCATTTTCCTCCCTCTCTATTTTTCTTCCTTCTTCTCCTCTCATTGTCCTTCCTTCCTTCCTTCCTTCCTTCCTTCCTTCCTTCCTCCCTCCTTCCCTCCGTTTCCTCCCTCCAGAGACAAGAACACACACACACACACACACACACACACACACACACACACACACACACACAGGACACCTGATTTGTAAAAGACTTCTCAGCCCACAGGAGGAGGGAAGGCGTGGGAAGCATTTTGGAAGGGGAGAAATGCGTTCATATTTCAAAGATTCCGTCAATGAAACCTCGCCAGAAAGACAAAAGCAAATTCTCCTACTTGTGCTTCTTGCCTGGCCTACCTCAAAGGGCTGAAGCATATTTTATCCCTTCTTTGCAGTTATCTGCAATTATCAGTGGAAACATGGGAATCCAAACCCCCCCCCCCCAGCCGCCTGCAAAGAGGCTGGGAATTAACTCCCCACCCCCCAAGATAAAAGCACCCTGCATGCCTTCCATCCAATGCTGCCCCTCCCCAGCTGACATTTGCCTCTATTTTTTTTTTTTTTTTTTGCCTTGGGTTTGTTTGTTTGTTTGCAAACAGAGCTTTGCCTGCCAGGGATGGGAGGCCACAAGGAAAGAGTAGGCGAGACGGGCACTTCAAAGACGGCAGGAGGGAGGGACTCTACCTTCAGGAGAAGTATTAAAACAAATCCAGATTTCGTATCAGAACAAGACCAGTAGCAGTTATTAGAACACAACCCGCCTGGTAGGTGTTTGGGTAAATAACCTAGAGCAGATTACAGCAACAGTGGGAGCTGTTGCCAGGAATGGTTGTATTAATAACAGAGCAGGAGGACTAGTTAATAATAGGGATCATAGCCATAAAAACAAGAGTAATCTTTTTTAAAAAACATACCACAGCATTCCCTTGCTAGGAATGGGGGATGTGTGGTAGATGCACAGAGTTGGCATTGGAAGCTCAACGTTTTGGTGTTTATGAACTGGGCTCTTAGAAGGATACTACAAACGGTTTAAGTGAGTTTTCTCCTCCATTATTATGGGAGGGGGGAAATCTTCTTCTCCATTATTATGAAAAAATAGCTCTTCTCCTTTTCTTTCCCCATCTGCCCCGAGATTATGAAAAATACTCTCCTTCTTCTCCTTTCTCCCCTTTTTTCCTTCTCTTCTTTCTCCTTCCCCTCTTCCTTCTCTCCTCCTCCTCTTCCTTTTTCTTTCTCTTCCTTCTCCTTCCTCTTCTCTCTTTTCCTTTTCCTCCTCTCCTACTCTTCCTCTTCTTCTTTTTTCCTCTTCTCCTTCTCTCCCTTCTTTCTCCTCTCCTTCTTCCCTTCTTCCTCTCCCTTCTTTTCCTTTCTTCTCCTCCTCTCCTTTCTCCTTCATTTCCTTCCCTTCTTCTCCCTCCATTCTTCACCTCTTCTTCTCTCCCTTTTCTTCCTCTTCCTTCTTCTTCTCTCCCTTTTCTTCCTCTTCCTTCTTCTTCCCTCCCTTCTTCCTCCTTCGTTTCTTCCTCCTTCTCTCCTTCCTCTCCAGTCTCCACCTCTTTCTTCCTTTCTCCCTCTTTCTCCTTCCTCTTCTCTCCCTTCTTCCTCTCCCTCCTCCCAGCGACAAACATTTTTTTTCAACCTCCCCCTCAATGCCCCTTTTGCCCAGCAGCCCACCACGGCGGGAGCGACCCAAATCGCTCCAAAAGGGGGGGGGGAGGAATTCTTTGCACACCAGAGCCATCTTCAAGTGGCGGGCAGTTCCACTGCCTCCTCTGCCTTGGATTCTCTCTCTCTCTGTGTCTGTCTGTCTGTCTCCCACCCACCCTTAAGAGGAGACTCCCCTCCAGTTCCCAGCCTTTCTGCCCCCCCCCCCCGTCCCCAGCCTCTCCTTCTCAGCTAGCGGGCGCCTGACTCACCCGCGGCGGCTGCGCCTTTAAAAGGCCGCCCTCGCCGCCTCCCCGCCTGCTTCGGGAGGCTGGACGCGGCTGGCTGGCTGGCTGGCAGGCGGCCCTGGGCTCGGCGGCGCCTGCGCTGCCTTTGCGACCGAGCGAGCGAGCGGACGAGCAAGCGAGCGGCTCCTTTAGCGCAGCGGAGCCCGGCAGCCGCGCAACCCCGCCGGAGGTGTCGCCTTCCCCGCTTGGCCTCGGACCCCTCTCCCCTCTGCCTCGCCGCTTCTTGGGGGGCGGACGCCCCTCGCCGCCTCCCTCCAGCCCGGCCTCCGCATCCGACGCCCGGCGCGCATCTGGCCAGCGGTGGCGCGGCCGGCGGGGGCGCAGCGGGGGCCGCGGGGGTCGCCCAGCCTCGCCCGGCATCGGCCCGAGAGGCGAGGACGCTTAAGGTGGAGTTGGGGCTCGGGAGGGGAGGCTGGGGGGGGGGAGAGTTTCCCAAAACCCTCCCCGTTTTATTGGGGGGGGACTTTAATAAAGTGGTCTTTTTCCTCCCCCCCCCTCTTTTGGGGACCCTGAAGGTGGCTTGGCTCTTAAGGAGAGGCTGGGGGAGGGGAGCAGGGGAGAGTTTCCCAACCCCCCCTTTTATTGGGGGGGGCTTTAATAAAGTCTTTTTCCTGCTCCCCCCCTTTTGGGGATCCTAAAGGTGGCTTGGCTCTTAAGGAGGCTGGGGAAGGGGGTTTTTCCCAAACCCCCCCTTTTCCTTTTTTTGGGGGGGACTTTAATAAAGTGGTCTTTTTCCTGCTCCCCCCCCTTTTGGGGATCCTGAAGGTGGCTTGGCTCTTAAGGAGAGGCTGGGGGAGGGGAGCACAGGAGAGTTTCCCAACCCCCCCTTTTATTGGGGGGGGGCTTTAATAAAGTCTTTTTCCTGCTCCTCCCCTTTTGGGGATCCTGAAGGTGGCTTGGCTCTTACGGAGAGGCTGGGGGAGGGGAGCAGGGGAGAGTTTCCCACCCCCCCCCCTTTTATTGGGGGGGCTTTAATAAAGTCTTTTTCCTGCTCCCCCCCTTTTGGGGATCCTGAAGGTGGCTTGGCTTTTAAGGAGAGGCTGGGGGAGGGGAGCAGGGGGAGAGTTTCCCAACCCCCCCCTTTTTTGGGGGGGGACTTTTCTTTTTCTTCCTCCTCTTTTGGGGATCCTGAAGGTGGCTTGGCTCTTAAGGAGAGGCTGGGGGAGGGGGGAGATTTTCCCACCCCCTTTTTCTTTTTTGGGGGAGGGGAAACTTTAATAAAGTGGTCTCTTTTCCCCCCCCCCTTCTTGGGATCCTGAAGGTGGCCTTGGCGACTACGGATCGGAGCAGCTCCTGGGGGCGATGAGCACCTCGCGTCCGCCTGGGGGCGTTTAAGGTGGGCAACGAGTCGGCGGTGGCCTGGGGGGGCGGTTGGCTTGGTTTAGGGGTCTCCCAGCACTTATTTCCCCGCCCCACAGGCATTAATGGGGGGGAGCTCACCAGGATAGACCCCGATCTCTTTCCAACCAAAAGTAGGGGGCCATATGGGAATTAAACACCCCTCCCTCCCCCCACATACCCCTGGATTGACAGGAGAGAACCTTTACTGTACTTTTTCAAGTTTCTAGTTCCTGGTGAGAATGATCCCAAGGGGAAGGAGAGGAGCAGCTTAGAAAACCGGCTCCTGTTTTTTCTCTTTTTCCCACCCCCACTTTTCTGGGAAAGAAATATTTTGGCTATCAAAAAGCTTGGATTTCCTTTCCTCTCCCCCTTCTTTCTTTTCAATTTTGTATTTTTTTTTTTTTAAAAAAAAACTTATTTATTTTTTGTCACCCGCCTTCAGAAACGACATGGAAGCGGTTGGAAAATTTGAATTCAGCAGGAAAGATCTGATCGGGCATGGAGCTTTCGCGGTGGTCTTTAAAGGCAGGCACAAAGAGGTAGTTTTTTATTTTATTTTATTTTCTGGCCTCCTTTTAAAAAAAAAAAGGGGGGGGAGAGGAATTTAGGTGATCTTTCTGTTGTGATAAGCAACGGGTCCTTCTCAATTCTGTCTGGAAATGTCAATATCAGATTAGGCAGTGAAAAAGGAGCAATTCAACCATTGATTCAATCGACTTGGTCCTTACAGCAAGCAAAAGACAAGTTCATACTTCTAAATCTATGTTGGGACTGGTAGATAACCTCTTTTCCTCTTCTCTGACTTTTTCCAGCAATCCCAAAATTTCAAATTAATCCACAAGTAGGCAGGACAAGCAGGTGACAGTGTGATTCTCTAAGATCCCCAAAGATCTGTTTAAAAACAGCCACAATTTTCTCAAGGAACTTTGCAAAAAAGGGGCAGAGACTGAATCACTGGGCTGATGCAATTATGGGAAAGAAATGGAGAATTTACTTAGGCACAGGGGGAAAAAAAAAAGCAAGCCTTATCTTCCTGGCTTGGCAAGGCTTCTTATCTTAAAGCAGCCACAAAGCAAGGGGAAAAAAAAAAACCCTCTTGTTATCCTGGAGGATCTATAAATAAACATATTTTGGGCTTCTATTTAATAGCCTGGTCGCTATGGGCGACTTAAGAACCTCAAGGCAAGAAAACACCTGGATTGCTTTAGGCTGGTAGCAGGGTAATAAGGCTGCATTTTATGTATTAACAAGGATTGGTGGGACCGTCTCCAAAATCTAATAATTATCTTTGGAGGATAAAGATAAAGACAGAGTTTTGTTTTTTGAATAGGAAGGATCTTGGCAAAGAAGAGTTTGCAAAATTAAAATTGCTTCTCTAGCAGGGTTGAGCCATTCTTGCTAAAAAAAGAGCATCTCTAGATTTGTCTGTTTCCTCTTCTTCACAGGCTATAATAATTATTTATTTGGGGGACCTGAAGGGTATAATAATTATTTATTTGGGGGACCTGAAGGGTGAAGGGAGAAGGCAGAAGTTTGCACACTTCGTGGAAGTTTGTTGCTGGAACTAAGAAGGGTGAAGGGAGAAGGCAGAAGTTTGCATACTTCGTGAAAGTCTGTTGCTGGAACTAAGGCCTTATTTAATTTGGAAGCGGTTTTGTGCTGGAGGACATGTTAAGAGGGAAAAGAAATTAAATCGGAGCAGGCAAGTCTGGACTTGTCTTGGCTAAAGGCCAAAAAAACCCAAACAGCCAACATTTTCAGATCAACTTTTAACACTGTTCCATTATTATCAAATTTATCCGCTGCCTATCTCGTGGCTCCGAGCAACTCAAAACTACTGACAATGTTGTTTGTGTACATTTGACCCTGTCTGCAGTGCAAAGTCAGATATTGTGTTTTATAAGTCAGGGTTTTTTTGGGAGGGGGGCATTAGCTGAGCCTTGTGGGTGTGTTTGAAGTGTGTGACTGAAAAACTCGGGAGCTCCTGTTGACCTTTGAATATTCCAACTTTCAGAAACCTGAAGTGGAGGTGGCCATCAAATGCATTAACAAGAAAAACTTGGCAAAATCCCAAACTCTCTTGGGAAAGGAGATCAAGATCTTGAAGGTAAATTGGGAAGAGAACTGGGACTTTGGAGAGACTGAATTACAAGCTGTGTTTATGGGGTTTTTTTTATAAGTAACTGTTCCCCCTCCCCTCTTTCTCTTTCTAGGAACTGAAACATGATAACATTGTGGCTCTCTACGACTTCCAGGTATTTTATTCTGAATTTCGGTCCAAAGATTTATGGGAAGAGGGACGAGGGAAAGGTTGATGGGTCAAGCCAATGGCGAAGAGGGTGTTGTTTAATTAGTCTTTATAGGGGATGACTGGATAAAAATGCTAACTAGATTTACCTCTAACTCATGGGGCTGAAATGGGGGGCTTTGTGGCGAAGAGGGTGTTTAATTAGTCTTTATAGGGGATGACTGGATAAAAATGCTAACTAGATTTACCTCTAACTCATGGGGCTGAAATGGGGGGCTTTGTGGCGAAGAGGGTGTTTAATTAGTCTTTATAGGGGATGACTGGATAAAAATGCTAACTAGATTTACCTCTAACTCATGGGACTGAAATGGGGGGCTTTGTGGCGAAGAGGGTGTTGTTTAATTAGTCTTTATAGGGGATGACTGGATAAAAATGCTAACTAGATTTACCTCTAACTCATGGAGCTGAAATGGGGAGCTTTGTATAGAATATTAGAATACAGAATATTAGATTATAGAATATTAGAATATTCTTTATTGGCCAAATGTGATTGGACTCACAAGGAATTGGTCTCTGGTGCATAAACTTTCAGTATACATACAAACAACAGAGTAATATAAGAATAGGAGAAGATAGTAGAAAAGATGAGTAGGATAATAGTAATGCAGCCCTACTGCATGGGTAAATATCCTTCGATATAAGACAGTGCTGTGGGAATTAGAGCGATGGCACAAGGGGAAAAAACTGTCTCTGGGTCTAGTTGCTTTAGCATGCAATGCCCCCCCCCAAAAGGCGATCTTTAAAAGAGGTTTTATGGATTGTTGTTGGTTTTTTTTTGTAATCCTTAAAGAGCTGCAGGTTATTTTTTAAAAAAGAAACACGGTTGGTTTAAGAGTGCATTGCTATAATTTGGGGATCTGCGCCGTCTGTATTTGTGTGGCCCTTGTTTAAAATCTTACTGCTGGCATTGTTACTGTTGCTGGTTTAACCTGTTTGTTTATTTATTTTTTCCTTTGGGGAATTTGGGGCCCTTCGTTCAGTTACATTGTGATTTAAAACAAAAAACAAAAAAACCCCAAACAAAATTATAAAGTACATAGATGAAGCCTGAACAGGAAAGGTATTTCCTGTTACGTATCTGTGTTTTGGGTTCCCCCCCCCCCCAGGCTTTTTGTCAAAAGTAGAATGATGGATTTCGTTTCGGTTGCAGTTAAAAGGGACCCGGATGGGGCTTTTTGAGTGTTGAGCTGTTGTATCTCTCCTTGTGTGGAAATAACTTTTTGGCGTGGATGTTTACAGCTCTCTGCCTGGGCAACCCGCCTTCTTCAGGAAATATGCAAAAGGCTTGGTGAGGTTTCCCAATGAAATTGACCAAGGTTGTTTGCCTCTGCAGGGTTGGCAATGCTGTGCAATTGTGTGTGTGTGTGTGTGTGTGTGTGTCTGTACACAAGCACTCTGCTTTTCTGGTAGAATTGCCTAAATCCTCTTTGGAAGCAGATCACTGGGCCGGCTTCCATCCCAGACCTTTGTCTGGAGATTAGTGTCGCCTTTAATTGTGTTGTTGCTTTCCACAGGCGGGGATGGTGTGCAAGAGAGGGTGGTGTGCAAGAGTCAGTCTTGCAATTGTGCATCTGAGGCTGGTTCGCCTGTCTGGCCCGTCATGTGGTCTCCAGGCTGCCTTGTTTGTTGACATTCTTTTGGCCGGCTCGGATTGGCCAAGAGCGGCTTTTGCGTCAGGCTTGCAATTCGATGCCTCTGGAACTCTGTGGCGTGACTGTTGCCATGCACGCCATGCATGCTGGGAAGTGTAGTCTTCGGTGGCTTTTTGTTGTAAGGCTTGCTGTGGACGCCGACTTCCCTCCCGAATTTGTTCTGGCTTGCTTCAAACTGGGTGGGAGGAAATCACCTGGAGGAAAAACAGTTTGGAGCTTCTTATTAGGTTGATCTGGTGACCTTATAGCAGCCTTTTGGTATTTGAGGGGCTGTCACAGAGGGGTGGACATGCTCTCCAAAGCCCCTGAGGGCAGGACGAGAAGTAACAGATGGAAGCTTATCAGCGATCCAAAATAGAATTAAGGAGAAAATTCCCCACAGTTAGAACAAATAATCAATGGAACCGCTTGCCACCAGAAGATGTGGGTGCTCCACCACTGGAGGCTTTTAAGAAGAGACTTGTCTGAGATGGGATAGGTCAGGGGTAGGCAACCTTGGCTCTTTTGTGACTCCTGGACTTCAACTCCCAGAATTCCTGAGCCAGCATGAGGGAAACTTTGGCCCCCTCATGACTCGTGGACTTCAACTCCCAGGATTCCTGAGCCAGCCACGCTGAGGGGAAAGGGAGAGGTTTCCAGACTGAGCCATGCTGGCTCAGGAATTCTGGGAGTTGAAGTCCACAAGTCATGAGGGGGCCAAAGTTCCCCCATGCTGGCTCAGGAATTCTGGGAGTTGAAGTCCACAAGACATGAGGGGGCCAAAGTTTCCCTCATGCTGGCTCAGGAATTCTGGGAGTTGAAGTCCACGAGTCATGAAGGGGCCAAAGTTTCCCTCATGCTGGCTCAGGAATTCTGGGAGTTGAAGTCCACGAGTCACGAAGGGGCCAAGGTTGCCTACCCCTGGAGTAGGGTCTCCTGCGTGAGCAGGGGGCTGGACTAGAAGACCTCCGAGGTCCCTTCCAACTATTCGCCTGTATACTATATTCTTTAATTTTCCCCTATCCCCCGTCCCCAACTTGAAAACGGAGCAGACAGAATCCAGCCTTTTGTCTGAGAACTCTGCAATTAAACGGCGGCGTAGTATAAAATACAGGACACGAATGTTGTGTAAGGTTGGCCTGTGTGTTGCGATTCAGTGCTGCAGCCTGCGTGAGGAAACACAACTGTTGGGGTTCTTGGAAAACAAGACTCTGGAATTTGGACAGTGGGCTGTGTTTTCGGTTATTTGATAGGTGTTTATTTAAAGAGGTGTTTCTCCCAGCCTTTAACTCACAAGTGCCCAGAGATAGATTGCATCGCCTTCCCTGGTTCACAGCTTAAAAGACTTAGCACAAAAGGAAAAATGAAAGAGGAGAATTAAGTAGATCTGTCTCCTCGCAGCTGGAGAAGAACAGCGTGAGGGTTTAACCAGGTCTGGCTTTGTAAGTGGCTTAAGTGCTAAACTAGGGGTCCCCAACCCATGGGCTGGGGCCCACGAGTGGGTCGTGAGGTGTTTGCAGCTGGGCTGCGGAAACGGCCAACAAGTGCACCCGTGCATCCTCACTTGTCCGAGTGGGTGCGCTCCGTTTGTGTGAATGGCAGGCGCGCGTGCACACCGCTTGCGCAAATGGAGCCGTGTGCTTGCGCACACGTGCTGGCCCTTTGCGTGAACCGTCCCCTCCACCGATCCACGAAGCTGGAAATGTTGGGGAACTCTGTTCTAAACCACGATTGTGGTTTTGTCCTACCTTCAGCTACATTGAGGGAAGAGGAACTGTCTTGGGCCACCTATAAAGTGTATAATTAACATGTATAAATAATATAGTCTATAAATAACTTTATAAGTATGGAGAACATCTGCCTATAAAGTCGGCAAGAGTCAGACACAACTGAATGGTTAAAACGGCAGCATATAAATAACAATTTTTTCCTTTATTCTTTATGATCTTATGGGGCCACCAGGGCTTTATGTAGCCCGTGGGCTGTACATTGGACATGCCTGCTCTAGAGTCTTGCATTCCTCATGAGAACTAGTGACTTGAGGGCTTTCCAAGCCCCAGAGCAATACGAAGCATGAGTTTAATCACCCCGAGTTGCAAAAAAATTCAGGGATTTGAACTTCCAGGAAAAACTCAGGTGAAGTTTTTTTTAGGACCCCCGAAAAGCAGAACCTTTTGGAATTGTGTGTCTTAGTCTGCATCCTTTTATAGGGGCCCTACAAAGTCATAACAGGGATTTTTGCAATCAAAGAATAATGTTGTGGACGTGGTTGCAGCTGCTGAGCTAGAGAAGGAGGTTTCGGGGACTTAGCCAGTAGCCATGTTCACACATTGGTGACAGCATCGTCTTGCTGATGGAGCTTGGTGTGGTTTCCAAATCCAGCTATGATGGCTTGTAGACTGTGGTTTATGGGTAAGGAGAATGTACGGAGAAGCCATGGCTTAAGCAGGGGATCCAGTCAACCAGAAAAGAGAGTTTGCTTGATGGGCCTGTTGTATAAATGGAACCAAACGGGGTTTGTATGCCTCCAGTTGCAGCAAACAGGAATTATCGTCTGGAATACAGATTCAGCTTTACGCATTTTTTTGAAAAAAATAAATAACATTCTCTTCCTGAGGCTAGTCCTGAGCTGCTTCCCTCCAGTTTCTTGAATTGGAAAAAAGGAACAACTTATTTTAGCCCAACCGTTCGGTTTTCAGCAGACGATACAGCAGAGCGCAGAGTTTTGCTAACTTTTAAGGTCAAGTCCACCTTTTTTATGTCCTCCTCGCTGCAATTTCACTTCAAGCAACTCCCTGCTAATGAGAAAAAGATCAACCAGCCTGGGGGATCTTGGTTTACCATCTGGATCATTTAAAAAGAGTTTTAAATTTCTCCCCACCTCCAACTTGGGGGGGGGGGGAGGAGATGCTTTGTTACTTCATTCTTGCTTGCCTGCAGCTTACCTGGTTCCTGATGGATCTTCGGATCAAAAGGCCAGATAAATCTCTCTCTCTCTCTCTCTCAGCTTGCCCAATTCCCCATTTTAATTGGTTTTTGATCTGAAGATGCTGTCAAAGGGAGCTCCAATCTGGAAATAGGAAAGAATTTCCTGGCAGGGAGAATTAAGAAGCAGTGGGATGGCTTGCTTGCCTCTCCTCGGAGTTGGGGGTGCTTCATCACTGGTGTTTTTTCAAGAAAAAATTGGACTAGCGTTTGTCTGGAATGGTCTGAGGATTTCTGATTGGGCAGGGGCTGGATTAGATGACCTCCAAGGTCCCTTCCTGATTGCTCTTTAGAAGGCCAGATCCTGAAGCTGAAACTCAAGTCCTTTGGC